TCACCGATGGCGTCCGCACTCGCAGCACGCTTCCTCGGCACGGGGACATCGCCGTGCCTCTCTGCCTCCCACTCACCGCCAGTAGACACGGCCATGGGATCATGATGCTCCATCGAGGTCGCAATGACCTCTCGGCTCTCCTCCTCCTTAGAGAAGATCATGTCATCCCCCACCTCTGTGGGGTCCTCCGACTCGAGCTCTGACTCGACGTCATTCCTATTTTCCCTGGCCTTCATGCACCGGGCGATCTCCTTCTCCTTCTCATACTTTCGCTGAGACTCCTTGGCTTTCTTCTTCTTCCTAACATCCGCCACCTCCTTCTGGGCGGCGTGCCGAGCCGCACCCTCCGGCCCCTTTGGAAGGTGCGGCCGGGACTTGTAAGCTTCAAGTCCCTACAAAACAGGTGACTCAAAATCAAAAAGCAGGAAAGCAAAGGGGAAAAGAACACGGAGTAAAGAGAGGGAAGCATACCAGTTTGGACACCACCGAGGCGTTGAGAGGTCTGGGCTTTCCGTCGACCTTCTCTTTGGGCTTTAGCTACAGCACCCGATCGAGGCGACTCTAGACCTCGTCGTTCGGCAGCTCCTTCAGCGACGCACAATTGGGGTCCATCGGGCCACCGTACTTCCACATCGGCCGCGCCCTCTCCGCCAACAGAGCAACCCGATGATGGTAGAGGGTGTGGGACACCCGCACCCTGTCAAGGCCACGCCGCACGAGCTTCTGGAGCTCCGTCTCGATGATCTCCACCTTCTTCTTCTCCCGATGGGAAGGGCCCCACGACCAACTTTCCTGCCTCTCCAGCCTTCTGCCGGTGAACACCGGGAATGGAGCCTTCACTGGGTTCCTGATATAGAACCACTCCCTGTGCCACCCATGGTTGGAGTTGCGGGGGATGTACGCGGGATATGAGCCCCCCACGCTCGATTTCTTCTACAGGGCGAAGCCCCCCACCGACAAAGTTCGCCCAGAGAATAGCCACTGGAAGAAGTCCGCGTGCGGCTCCATCCCGAGGAAGGCCTCATAGACGGTGATGAAGCCGGCGATATGTAGCACCCCAGTTGGATTGAGGTGCTACAACTCCAAACCCCACTCATTGAGGAGCCCACGTAGGAACCAGTGCGTGGGGTATCCTAGCCGGCGCTCGTGGAAGGCGAGGAAGGAAACTACCTCGCTGGCCTGAGGTTGCGGGAAATCCTCCCTCCTCGGAGCCCTCCAGTGCACCACCTCCTTCGGTGGCAGGAACCCCTTCATGGCGAAGGCCTCCAGCACCAACTCCCTCACAGTGGATGACCTCTAGCCTGACATTTCGCTTTGGATTTGTGGATGGATTTGTGAGTTTTCTCCTCTCCCTCGCTCTCCCCTTTTTCTTTTCTCTCCTAGGAACCGCCGCGGCACTCAGACGCTCTTGACGAGAAGGAAGAAAGAAGAGATGGCAGATGAGGAATAGGCAAAGGAACGGGGCGAAAGCCCTCTCCCTTCTCCAACTTAAAGAAAAGGGCATAGCAGTTGGGGAAGGCGTGGCGATCGGGGAAAGACGAAACGACGGGGGCGAAAAACCCTCTCTCTTCCCCATTTAATGCAGATGGGATACGATGGGATGCGCCCTGACCGAAGAGACGCACCCTGCCCAACGGAACAGCACCTGATCAGACGGGACATGGTCTGGGTATGGCCCACCACTACCACACGACTAGGCATGAAAAACAAAGCGCCACCACGTGCAGGCGGCTCTCCACCTCCCTAGGCGGGACTTGGAAAAGCCCAAACAACAAGATCTCCACCAGGAGAGACCATCGAGCTTCCTAAATTCAATCGAATGTCTCGGAAAAAAAAAACCGAGAGACAGGTAAGGATCAAAGGGATGCCCCATGTAGGCCATACCGACTCCATCACGAACGACGAGCATGGGTCCTAGTCGGATATTTCCGATTGGAGCTCTTCAAACCCCATCACTCGAGTCATCAAGGTAACATTACTGACCCCCGCTCTTTCTTTATATAATCATTCATACATCCATACACGTATTCATTCCATACGCCCGTGCCCCCCGGACGATTCGGGCCTGAATCACCCAGGGGCTCGGGAACTAAGGCATCGCACGTGTGGCTAAACGCATCACAACGTTTCGTGTTGCGTCATGAAGCAGCAGTTGCCTCATTCAAACATGAGCCCCGTGCGGCCCTCGCCTAGTCTACCCGAAGCGGACAGGGTCATCTCAACCTTCTTGTTCAATCCTAAACCTCTACCAAACCTATAGAATCTCCATCGAGGGGAGGCCAACGGGACACCCGGGTCAGTCTCTGAAATGACCTAGGCATCTACTGGGTTACAGGTAAAGGAGTAGTGGAATGTCACAAGAGGGCTATGCTGACCCCGTCATGAACGACAGACCTGAATTTCACTCGATCATACCCTTTAGCGAGCTCACCGAGCGCGTCACTCAAGCCTGAGCGATCGAGGCAAGCGACAAAACTCAGCCCCTCTGGTTGTGAGAAACCGTGGATGGGGTAACGCACAAAACTCAAACCGACCACTACCAAGCCCAATGGGGCTTGGGGGCTCAAGACACCCAAAACATCTGGGTCTGCAACCCCAAACTCGCCCCATCCCTCGGCTAAACGCCTGGGTCTGCGACCCCAAACTCGCCCCATCCCTCGGCTACGCCTCGACTGCACACCAAAATGCCTGGATCTACGACCCCAAACTCACCCCATCAGGATCCGTGAGCTCCGTCTCGCCCGATCCCTAAACTAACTGCCTCGGCTGCACGGGACTGCACCGATGCCAGGATCCATGACTCCGACTCGCCCGATCCCACAGCGCGCACCGACACCAGGATCCGCGAGCTTTGTCTCGTCTGGTCCATAAACTAACTACCTCGGCTGCGTGGGACTGCACCGACGCCAGGATCCACAACTCTGACTCGCCTGATCCCACGGCGTGCACCGATGCCAGGATCCGCGAGCTCCATCTCGTCTGATCCCTAAACTAACTGCCTTGGCTAAGCGGGCTGCACCGACGCCAGAATCCATGACTCCGACTCGCCCGATCCCACGGCGTGCACCAACGCCAAGATCCATGACTTTGCCTCGCCTGATCCCTAAACTATCTCGACTAAAATAGACGCACACACGCACGCTGACAAAACCCCCTAGGCGATCCTGCTCGAATCACCCAGGGGCTCGGGGGCTACATCCGCAGGTGTGCTCTTGCACACCCGCTGATGAAACGAAACTTCCCCCGCTGGCAACACGAAAAATCCCCTATACGATTCTGCCCGATTCGCCCGGGGGTTTGCGGGCTACACCCGCGGGTGCGCTCGCGCGCATCCACCGTCAAGACAAAAATCCCCTAGACGATTCTACCTGAATTGGCCGGGGGCTCGGGGGCTGCTGTCGGGTTCATAAATCCGGGGTCCCTCATGGACCGGCTTCCCAGCAAGGGATCGGCCCAACAGACAATGTTGCGAACAACGCGCAACTCATGGGCCGGCCCAAGTACCTAAACGACAGGCCAGAAAGGGTGATCCAATCACCGACCGGAAGGCCTAGCCGAGGAGGAACGGCGCCCGCTTCTGACTCCGGCCCGCCTCTCCGACCGGAGCGCTCGCCTCGGTCTCCAGCTCGTCTCCAGATGGCCTCTCCGACCAGAAGGCCTGCCCGAACACCGCTTCCGGCTCTGACCTGCGTCTCCGACCAGGGATGCACCAAACCCCTGCTCACTGCTCTTCCCCAACTGGCGCAATCAGAGCCAACTGGGACCAACCGACCCAGGACGCCCGCTCGGTAAGGACCAGGAAACGGACGGAGAAACTAAGGCAGGACGCACAAGTCAAACCGCAATACCAGGGACCGTACCCTGTACACCTACAGAATAGTACTCTACGACCTCCCTGGCATGACAGAACCCAAGCAGTGTTGTGGGCACCAATATTTTCCCCTATAGTATTGTAGGCGCCATCAACTCCCATACCAGACAAATACGGTAAGGCTCCCCCCACATGCCTCTGGCCATCAACAGTGTTGTGGGCGCCGACATTTACCACATCAGGCAAACATGGTAAAACCCCTTGCATGCCTCTGGGTATCAACAGTGTGGCAGGCACCGACATCTGCCATACCAGAAGAAGATGACGTAACCCCACATGCATCTGACATAAAATAGTATTGTGGGCGCCTAGCATCATCTTGTACCCACCGGCATGGGCAACAACACTTAGTACCACACGCACTCTCTCCCTCTCACCTGTAAGGCCATCCCCTTCATCTATGAAAGAGGATGCGCACTCTCCAACAGGACTCAGATTCATTCAGATCGGTCAAGTTCACTTAGCACATAGTGGAGCTCCCGTCACTCTCGGCCCCTCTGACCAGAGTCCGACCGGACCTCTTGTACGCCCCATCTTTCTCCTTCTCGTTTGTAACCCCATTGCAAACTTCGAGCACCTAGGCTCAAGAATAAAGTCACCGACCAACTCAAACTGGACGTAGGGCACGTTGCCTAAACCAGTATAAACCCAGTATCATTGAGTGCTAGGCCACCTCTGATCACAACGTATTGTAAAACTATAAATATTTACGTGTTGGTCACTTTCTGCACCGACAGCTTGAGTTTGTGCCTGCCCCTGCCGGTCCCGGGCTAGCCCTTGCCAATCAGCGCCTTGTTCGCTTGGGCTTGTTTGGCTGATAAGCCATGACTAAAAGTACTGTTTGCTGATTTGGTGTAAGAGAAAAATATTGTTCGTTGTCTGAAAAAGTATGGCTTATAAGCCAAACAAGCTCAAGCGAACAGGGTGCAGGTCATTGTACGCACGGCCAATGGCGGGCTTGGAGTGGTTGGTGGGATTGCGTGCACCCTGACGAAGTGATGAAGCCGCCATTGGCCACCACTGCGCCCTTCACCTGCGTCGCACGCGACCGGCACATGCCTTTCAGGCTTCTTCCTGCTATAGACAGAGAGACCGTTCCATGCACACAGTAATCGCACGTAGGGGTGGCATGGCGTTGATGGCTCGCACAGCTGCTGGGAGGATACACCGTACACTGGCTCTGGTTACAGGGGACTGCAGGTTTGTGTTCGGGTTTCGTTGTTTCGAACTCCAGTGAGATCGTCAGAGAAGAAGTGGTTCGGGGCGGCAGGCCTAACAGGTGAGAAGGAAATCGCTTGGAAGTGGGGTGGCGAGGTTGCGGGGGCTGCCAACTGTGGGCTTTGGAGGACGGCCGGTGGGTGGTGCTGCGGAGGATGATCGGTGGGCGGTGCCGGGATGGAAGTGGGGTGGCGAGGTGGCGGGGGCCGCCAGCTGTGAGCTTTGGCGGACGGCTGGTGGGCGGTGCCGAGACGGGAGTGGGGTGGCGAGGTGATAGGGCCCGCCAGCTGTGGGCTTCGAAGGACGGTTGGTGGACAGGGCCGGGACGGAAGTGGGGTGGCAAGGTGGCGGGGCTCGCCAGCTGTGGGCTTCGGAGGACGGTCGGTGGGTGGTGCCGGGCTGCAGGGAAGGAGGACGGCCATGGAGCCGATGGCGGGGATATGCCACCGAGGACGGGCAGAGAGTGGTGGGGCCAAACAATGAAGAGACAAGAATGGGAGAGAGTGCATCGTTCAGAGGGAGAGAGAAGAATGGGAGTCGCTGATGAGTCGTGCATCCGTTGGTGTTATTGAGTAGTGGGTAAATTCAAACTTACAAGTCATCTTTAATTTGTAGAACCACATTTATAATGAAAAGAACTACTAACTCAGTCCCCCCAAAAAAAAAGAGTGACATTCTGGTTTTATTATAAGTCAAACTATTGTAAGTGTGACCAAGTTTATTGAGAGAAATATTAATATTTTCATTACATCAAGTGGGTATGTAATGAAAATATATTTCATGAGGGAATTCAACAATACTAATTTAGCATCTCGTAACAATAAACAATCTTCTTCCTAAACTTGGTCAAACATAAAAATGTTTGACTTAGGATTAAATTAGAATATGTCATTTCTTTTTGGAACGGAGGCAGTAATTCACTATAGTGCCATAAGGGCATGTAATAAGTGATTACGTTACGCTCAGTTTGGAGGTCCTTAAGGGTTAGCTATGCTGCCATTGAAAGCTTCATATTTTCTCCGCTCAGTTGCTGCCAATTGGATGAACCCTTTGTGTTCATACCAATGTGGCTTTTCTTAGTTCGTCATGTTAGTTTTCTTTATGCTTTGTTACAAACGTCTTGTAATTTCGTTACTATTAAGTGAAAAATTCGGCTTTGGCCGTGGTAGAAAAAAAAATTAAATATAGTTCTTTTTCTGTTCACTGATGCCAATGCAAATATATTATATATATAGCAGCAGGTTGATTGCGCGAGCTCAACAACTGTGGAACGAATGGGAGGTCCAGTGCCTGGTGCTAGTGAGCTTCTGGCTGCAGACCTTCCTCCTCTTCGCCGCGGGCTTCCGGAAGCACCGCAGATCGCGCGTGCTCAGCGGGCTGCTGTGGCTTGCCTACCTCTCTGCAGACTCCGTTGCTATCTACGTCCTGGGCCGGCTCACGCTGCACACCGGCGATCCACGCCACCAGCTGGTGATCTTCTGGGCACCATTCCTGCTGCTACATCTTGGCGGGCAGGAGACCATCGCAGCTTTCTCTATGGAGGACTGCGCGCTGTGGAAGCGGCACCTGCTGAACCTGGCGACCCAGTCGACGCTAGCCATTTACGTCGTCGGCAAGCAGTGGCGAGGGGACATGCGTCTTATGGCCCCCATGCTGATCATGTTCGTCTGCGGGGTGGGCAAGTACGCTGAGAGAGCGTGGGATCTCAGGAGGGCAGGCTCACGGGCTCCTGGAAGCAGGTCCATCGCTGGTCATGTTACCGGTGCCAGGCGGGAATTCGAACGTGAAGTGTTTTGGTATTACGACAGGCTGAACCAAATCCTTTCGGACAAACTCCAGCTCAACTTCGAGCTAGTCATGGAGGTGGCCACCCGGGGCTTCCAGCTGAGCTTAGATTTTCTCATGGACGTGATACCTGCGAAATCCCTGCGCCCTGAAACCGACTGGAACGAAGGCCTCGTGGCGAGGATCAAATCTTCTGAGAATCGAGCCGATCTGGTGTACAGGTTGGCCGAAGTTCAGCTCTCCTTGATCTATGACTACTTGTACACCAAGTTTGGAGGCTTCTTGGGCGTGCTGCATCGGCCAACCACCTTTGTTCTAACCTCTATAGCTCTGTCCTCATTCCGCATTGTTCTGGCTGACCAGAACCAGAAGGGGACACCAACACCAACAAGCAGCTACTATGGAACTGATGTTATCATATCATACATATTGCTTGCCGGTGCCTTTGCGCTGGAGATCTCCTCCATCCTCATGTGGTTCACGTCATCATACTGGCCATACATGACCATTGCATCCCTTCAGAATCGGCGTCGCCACAAAGCTTTCCAGACAATGTTGCTCATCATTGCTAGGCGCCTAGGTCGAGAGAGCAGAGTTGAATGGTCGGGGAAGTTGCCTCAATACAACATGATCGGTGCATGCATCCGGGAGAAGCAAGCTGGCACATGGGACAAAATGATGCTATGTATCGGCATCGAGAGAGACTACACCACACAAGTTGTTGTCTCCCCCGAGGTAAAGATGGTGCTTCTTGACCGACTGCTTGAGATAGCCACTTCCACTTCAAGTGCCGCAGAGGACCTGGACTTTGGTACTTTCCGTGGCCAGTGGGCTCGCAATGGAGTTCATTGGCCTTGCTTCTCTGGATGTGAAGAAGCTGCTCATCCGCCCGGCCGTTCTTCTGAAGACCACCCCCCTTCCTCTGGAAGTGCAGCTCAAGAAGCACTTGGGAATAGTGCAATCCAAGATTTGGATTTTGTATCAAGTGCCATTCTTTGGCACTTTGTTACGGACATATGCCTAGAGGCTAGTCCGGCTGATGACCACCATGCAAACAGTTGCAGCTCCAGGATGAGAAGGGCTAGCGAAGAGTTTTCGAATTACATCATGTACCTCGTTGTCAAGTGCAGTATAATGCTTGGAAGCGATGGGCATTACGGGGTCAAAGTTGCACGACGCGATGTGACGCTGTTTCTTGGCATGGTCGTTGACCGGACGGAGTTCATCCAGAAAGTGCGTGATGGTGACCTTGCTCTCAACCTTAAGGAATTCCCTGCACTTCATCGAGCACACCGTGTCTCCTCAGAGCTGCTTAAGATAAAAGCACACAACAGGTGGAAACTCATCGCATTGGTATGGGTGGAGATGCTTTGCTACGTTGCACATAATTGTGGGGCTGGATTCCATGCCAAGCACCTCAGCACCGGTGGAGAGTTCGTCACCCATGTGAAGATGCTGTTGTTTATCCTAGGCTTTCCTTTGCGTGGGCATACTAAGGAACAGCTATTTCCTTCAGAAGAGATAGAAGAGAGAAAGTTCTTCAAGAGTTCTCATCCTTGGAGACGGGGATGATGTCAATTACACAGAAGAGGGAGGCCGGGCTCCGTTGTAACACCCAGGCCATACCAATGTGCATCTAGAATTCAATGAAATCTAAAAATTAGGCTTAGTCTAGGTGCAACTCAGGTGTTTTGAAGTCAGAATACACTCTATTTTCCAAACTGTATGATTTTGAATTAGTTCCTGGGATTGGTTTCACACTTTTGGCCACAAACTTATTCAGGTATTTCTGACCGGATGTCACAAAACTCGATTGTTTAAGCGGTCCACGCAATAATCGGGTGTCTTTCCATTGGTACTAGCACCTGAACTTTTTCGTCATTGGATTGGAACTGATGGCTAAGAGTTCCTTCTCTTTCTAGTTGACTTAAATTCCAGTGCCAAGTCGAATTTCAACAATAAATTTTCTCTGTCCTACATACACTAGGTGAAAATTACATAGAAACCCCCATCACCACCGGTTTAAAAAATCCTATCACCGCTGGTTTTGAACCGGCAGTGATAAACATTATCACCGCTGGCTTATTACCAGTTTGAATATTTTTAAAACCATATAGAAAATATATAACTGGAGCAAAAGAATTACCCCAAGCGAAAACAACCTCGCCCAGCCATCCTCTCCTTCAATGGCCATGATTTTAATTTTTTGCACTTCTTTGTGAAATGTCCAATACTTTACAAAATGTGCAACCTCTAGGATTCAAACCCATATAACCTCTTGTTTGGTGCAAACATCCCCTAAACCACTGAACCACACAATCACTTTGACTAGTGGATGGATGTGCACTACAACACAGATGGGCTTCTTTGATGATCTGATTATATCACATAATGTCGAATATTTATCACCACGTTTAGGTTAATTATGACAACTTTGTGACGTAATCTGTTTGTTATGGAATGTGCGTCTCTAATCACAACATCACAATCATGATAAAGCACATTGAAACTTTCATCATTTTTTTTGGCAATACATTCTTCATTGTTGATTTTCATGACGATTTAAAATATCATTCTTGAAGGGAAAATGTCACATGGCATGGTGTGTGCTTTCGCCATGTGTATTGTAGGCTTTGACGAGGCAATATTTTAGGACCTTTTTATTTCGTTGTGAATCTTCTAGCCCATATTATGTACATGGGCCCGCAATATAGTTTGGGCTTAGCCCATTCTATGGACCGCTTTAGTCCGGCCCAATTGAGGCCTACTTTCGACCAACTAAGGTACACTTCTGATTTGACCCCAATAATTTTGTACATCCACTTGTTGGCCCGTGAACATGCGACGCCCGACCCAATTTTCATTTGGCCTAGCCCATTGTTTGCCCAGTACCTGATTGGATACTGGCTCATTTTTATGATTTTTTGCAATAACATAATTAGAACATATTTGGCCCAGATGTAAATCATTAAAAGCAAATAATTATGGCTCATTAAGCCAAGTAACTACAGCTAATTTGGTCCAATAATTACAGCTCTTTTGGTCATTCCAAAGATGAAAACAGCATTGTCACAAGCATCATTCCATTCCAAACTCAGACCACTATAGTTTGAGCAATATCAAGCTAAAACAATGCAAACATATTTTTTTTCTTCAACAGCCACAAGCTAGACGAAAAAGGTCTCCAAATCCAAAGTTCACCAATTGGTCCAGCAGGTCACCAAAAGAGCTCCAACAGCCACAAATCAAAAAGTGATTGATACAAAAGCCTCATTTTACCCAAGTTGGAGCTACATCACCATGACAAAGGAAGGCTCAAAGATTCAAGGGAGTAAGATTCAACTGACCATGGTTGAGTCTTATCAGTTGACGAATGAGGGTGTTTGTTTTTTGTATTGTCTTCGTCAAACTCTCAATATCATGTGACTGATTTGCCATTGTTTACTCAGATTCAATTGTGCCTGCAACTTTAGGGTATGCAGCTCTTGTCGAATTTTGGCAGCATCTTGTTTCTCGAACTCAAGTTCAGCCTGAAGCCCTTGCACCTGTGAAGAATCGACATGTGGCATATTTTATAAATGAATATAAATCTTGCACTAATAAATTTCACTTGAACTCAAGTAGTTAAATCTTGCACTAAATCTGCAGGCAACATATCTTAAAATCAGTTAAATTTACACGCAACAGACCTTATAGCACAATCTGGCAGCTGTTTAGCTTACTTTATCTTCCATGATTCTTTCATTCCACTCCATTGTCTTGTCCATGATTCTTATAGCACAATCTGGCAACTAGTTCAGGAACCGGCAGTCCCGGCGTATTTCGCCGTCGGTGGCCGACGTCTTGACCCCGATCCTCCCGAGCTTGGTCATCGCCGCCACGAAATCGCCGAAGAAGGCACCCTTGTTGGACGCGCAGTAGTCGACCATGCTGTGCGACCTTATGTCGACTAGAGCACCTGCTCGGAGCCCACCGTCGAGGGGTCGAGGAAGGCGAAGGTGTTGGGGTCAGAGCTGCAGGTGCCGTTCAGCTGCGACGCGAAGCCGGGGTCGATGGTCGTGTCGCTACCGATCCTCACCGACTGCAGCCGATCTTCTGTCTGCGTCCAGGTCCTGCCACGCCGTGGGCTATGGTGCGTCACTGTCGCGCCGTGGGCTATGGCGCGTCAGTGACACGCCAAGATCGGTGGCGCGGCAGACCCTGCCATGTCACCGGTCAGCAGACCCGGTCGTCGCCATGTCATCCGCCTGCCGCGCCACCATGCATGGCGCGGCACAGGCGTTTCGCCAGGCCATGACAATAGGCGTGTCCAAAAGTGTTATTTTTGAAAAAAAACAGTGTTAGATTTAAAATTAGTTTACTAAAAGTGTTAAAAATAAAAAAATCATGCTATATGTTTTCTTCCTTGCTCACAATTACTTAAATTTAATATGGTCTTCTAAAACATGAAACTAGGTCAAATTTGAAACGGGAATCTAGGCCAAGACAAATCCTTGCCAACTGCATCATAAATCACTGTGCAACCCACCGTGAAAACTGCAAACAGTGTTTCCTCACCAACAAAGTCTCGCTTAATCATCGAGACATGCACCGGGATTCCAAATAAAACTACATAACTAAAATTCTAATTGTATATTAACAACACATATTATGTGGCCTCACTTTGTAGCAGTACTATGTCTTCTCGAATAGGGATGAAAACAGAAAGAAACGACTGGGTAACTCCTTAACTATTTCCGTATTTCATCACCGAAAACGAAAATAGGATCAGGATTGTTAAGAACTGGAATGAAAATGGAATACGCAGGAATATGAAAACAAACAAATACGGATGGAAATAGATGAAAGTCAAACCTAGGGATATGCTAAGTCCCTGGGCCAGAGGTTGCCTGTTGGCATTTCTTAGCGCAATCACCAAGTGAGGAGGTTTTAAGTCCATCACCGGGAACGGGGCCAGAAATGTCTGTTGGTATTTCTTAACAACATTACTAAGATTGAGTTAATCTTAACAACGCCACTAAGAAACACCAACTACGATAGTTCTTAAAGATTACAGACAATATCCGCAAGCGTACAGAGCTATCGTTGTAGCATTTCACTCAGAAGTATTCAGGATATCGTTATTTATATTTTCCCAAAGGAGGACAAGGTATACAAATTCTAGCATAGACATAAACATGATGACATACTTGCATAGTGGACCATAGTTCATAACAGGGGTAAAATGGTATTTCATGTATAGTAGACACACATCTGGGCTAACCACAAGGATAAAGGAAAACAAAGAATAAAAGAATATTCCTACATGGAGCGGACATGTTCTAATATAGCCGTGCAAAGAACAGTTAATGATCATACAACTTATATGACTAGAGTTAGAACTATGATTAAGATGGACAGAGAGATCTCCGAGCACTGGTCTATCAGCAAGCGCGAGAGACTTTAAAACTCCTACATAATACCCGGACGTGGGGGATTACAAGGGATGGATAAGGCTGTCACCACCTGTGGCCTACCCCTCAACCATGGGATACTATCATATCCGTAGGTTCCCGTGTAACCGAGCACCAGGCCCGTGCACAAAGAAACTACCTATACTCCCTGGGTCCCCGAACCTATGGATTGACAGGTAAAGGATATAGGCAAACCCGAAGGAACAACGAACCACCACCCCAACCTAGCTCTACTTCTACTCATACAAGTCATATGAATGTTGAAGTGTAAAGTTGAACATGTTAAGATCAAGATATCCAAACTATATGCTAGCTCATATATCATGATTATAACATGAAAACTATACTCTACTTCATATGCACTACTATATGAATGATATGAGAACTTGAATATGGCAGAACTCTTCATAGTATTATTTATACCAAAGTTGCTCTTCTTCCAAGGAGACAAGCTCTCCAAGTATCTTTGCTAGCTCCAAATACTACTAACACTAAAGCTAAAAGAGTACAAGTAGAGAGAGGTGAGGTGTAGCTCCAAATGATTGTGTGTGTAGAATGAGCGCCTCCTCTTCTTTTAAAGTGAAGTGAGGGCAGTTTGGCGCTGTTATTTTAGGTAACCATCCGAAACGGCCTATGCAAGGCGGCATGCAACCGCCAGAGCGAGGTGGGCCTAAGAGACGGTGCTGGAGGTGCGGGCGCACCCCTGGTGCGGCCGTACCTAGGCTAACCCAGCTGGCCACCGCCTTGCTCTGGTGGGTTGCTGGCTAGGCCTGGGTCACATCCTTGGTGGTATTCTGCCCAGGTTGGATGTTTGGATGGGCCTTTGCTTGTCTCCTTGGTGTAGAATCCACATTACGCTTTCCCGTTTGCGTATTTTGGTATGTTTTCGCCTTGTATTTGAATATGAGTCCTGTAAAACAAGTGGAACTAGGTCAATAGTAAAGGCATATTTGTTAAAAGTATGTTTATTTCTCCTATTTTGGACTATAATTGGCGGTTAGTAATAGTCGTTAGTGACCGCCAACAAATCCCCCAAGCTTAACCATTGCTCGTCCCGAGCAAACAGCTAAGTACTTTTTGTTGATCAGGAGTTGCTACTATACCGATATAATTCACAAG